GCGGGGAAACAGCCCAGAAAAGGGGTTTTTTAATTTCCCCTAATGAATTTTTCCCCTTCATGTTTTTTTTTTTTTTTTTACAGACTGAGGACAGAAACCGGCAGCTGCAGGAGAAGCTGGAGCTGGCTGAACAGAAGCTCCAGCAGACCATACGTAAAGCTGAAACACTCCCTGAGGTGGAGGCTGAGCTCGCTCAGAGAGTGGTGGCCCTCACAAAGGTAAACCGCTGAGGATTGTTAATATTAGTTATGAATAAAATCAGTTCACTAATTTGTAGATTGATTAATTTTATAAAATTAATCAGACTAAATATTTTAAGCATTTTAACCGGGGGCAAAATGTCATGCAGAAATGTTATCAGTGCATCCTAACTTTTTCTAGCACCATACTTTGTACACTCTGGTGTACTCTATTCCTGGTTTAAGTAAACAGTCTGTGTCACTGTTTTCCTAAAAAGGCCAAGCAATGTGATGAAAGAAGCTCTTAAATTGTTATAATTTTCAAATACTCTGGGTTTGGCCTGTGTCACTTCCCTGTAACTGCCAATTAGTATTTTTTCTTGAAATGCCTTTCCCTAATTAGTTCCTGTATGCAGCAGCAGCTAGGAGCTCCCAGAGGAAGCCACTGAGGAAGCCATTGTTTATCTTACTCCAAATATCCACTGGGACCTATATTTAGAGAATTGGCGCATGTGTTTTTATCCATTTATAGTTTGAGCCTTTGTCTCTAGAAAGCTCCTGATGCACATGCACACAGGAAATACAGCAACTTATTTTACCACTGGCTCTCAGTACACATCTGACTAATGATGAGTCATTTCTAGTTACCATCTACGGGTTTGCTAAATAAGGAAACAGGAATGAGACTCCATTATTTTGTTTTACTCAGCTGTGTTTTAATGTTTTAGTCTGTACTACTAGCTCACATCAACTGAAGAAAATCCCTGATTGTCTTATAAACGAGCAGCGATGCATGAGGCATTGATCGCTTAAATTCTACTAAATATTCATATAATGTTTGTGATGTCACACAAAAACAACATCAATCAAATGCATGTTTTTTGATTTGTCAGGCGGAGGAGCTAATGTTTGTGATGTCACACAAATACAACAATCAAATGCATGTATCATGCATCAAATGTTTTTTGATTTGTCAGGCGGAGGAGCGCCATGGCAATGTCGAGGAGAGACTAAAGCAGATGGAGGCTCAGCTCGAGGAGAAGAACCAGGAACTGCTCAGAGTAAGAAACATGGAACATAAGAAACCTGTGTAGTTTTTTTTTTTTGTCCTCCTTTAATTTTTTTTTTTATTTTTAACCCCCTACAGGCCCCACAGAGAGAGAGAGTGAGAGACTAAAGCAGATGGAGGCTCAGCTCGAGGAGAAGAACCAGGAACTGCTCAGAGTAAGAAACATGGAACATAAGAAACCTGTGTAGTTTTTTTTTTTTGTCCTCATTTAATTTTTTTTTTAATTTTTAACCCGCTACAGGCACGACAGAGAGAGAAGATGAATGAGGAGCACAACAAGCGTCCTACAGGCCCGACAGAGAGAAAAGATGAATGAGGAGCACAACAAGCGTCTGTCAGAGACAGTGGACAAACTTCTGTCAGAGTCTAATGAGAGACTTCAGCTGCATCTCAAAGAGCGAATGTCAGCCCTGGAAGACAAGGTGAGAAGGGCCGTCTGTGTAGGCTACCGAAACCAACAAACTTTATGCTTTACAATGGCCAATCCCAAAATGTACATTATTACTTTACTTAAATTGATTAGAATATTACAAAACTCAATAATGTGTGTTATTTCTCTTCAGAATTCTCTAATACGTGAACTGGATCATACCAAGAAGTTGGTTGAGGACTCTCATCATGAGAAGGTGGAAATATAAATGTGCCATAGATTAAGTGTAAGTTTTTAAGTTTTTAGTTTACGTGAATAAACTTTGTCATATTTTTTTTCTAACAGGAGCAACTCCTAATCCAGATTGAGACCTTAAGGGCAGACAATGACCAGGGTCGGAGCAGGAGTAACTCCTTACTTCATGGGTATGACTGTTAAGAGAGAGGTAATCCACCTCTTTCTTCTTGACCTCCTTCTCACTCTGTTATTTTCTCCCCCAGGCGATCTCAGCTGGGCAGCACACCAGACTTCAGGTATCCAGTATCAGCCTCCTCACTCCTGGATAGTAACTCTGATCATTATGGCAGTGCTCTAGTGCTGAGGCGACCTCAGAAGGGACGAGTGGCTGCGCTGCGGGACGAACCCTCCAAGGTGAGCCCCAGGCTCACCTGCTGCTGCACATGTACAACAGTCATGAAATTTGAGCTCAATACCTGTCGAAACATCAGTGTTTACTGATTAATAATTAATGCAGCAGCAGATTGGTCATTTAATACGCTTTAAAATAGGTTTCCAGCAAAAGTAGCAGGAACATAAAGGCCTTTGCACACAGATATGTGTGCTTTATTTTTATTTCACTCTGTAGCTTTAACTTAAAAAGGAAACAACATTTCCTGTATTTTTTACCTTCAGTGGGAGTAGAATGTTTACCCACAGCAGTGTTAAAGGCCTGCTTACTTGATAATGATGTAAATGTTGCCTTGCCTAACACATAATCAGACGCAATCATACATGAGACGAAAGGGTGCCCATGCCATAAATGGTGCAGAATAACAGAGAGCACTCCTACTGGTTAAACCTGTATATTTTTGGTGAAGCGTTGCCTATGTGGTAGTGACACTGTTTAAGTGGCTGAAAATGTTCCCTGTTTTTAGAACTGTTATTGTCTGACTGGTTTTAAATACATGTGATCAAGGGGCAGCCTCCTTCTTTGTCTGTCCTTTTTCTGATTTTCTTCTATTTCTTTTCTGTCTGCTTCTTACTCTGTGGACATCAGCGACATGTAAGTCTTTGTTCTGGAACAATGTGTGTTTTATTCCTTCTTACATCTGGCACCTGGATCTCATCCTCTGTCTCCTTCCGTTTCCCTGTGTCTCACACCTGTGTTTTTCTCATCAAGGTGCAGACATTGAACGAGCAGGAGTGGGAGCGCATGCAGCAGGCCAACGTGCTGGCGAACGTGGCCCAGGCCTTCGAGAGTGACATGGACGCCTCAGACCTGGAGGAGGATCGAGAGACCATCTTCAGTTCTGTGGACCTGCTGTCCCCTGCTGGCCAGGCTGATGCACAGACCCTAGCCTTAATGCTGCAGGAACAGCTGGATGCCATCAACAATGAAATAAGGTATCAAAAATAAACTACACAAACATGCTTTGTAAGGCTAAATGTGTCTGAAAACTGGAAAGCTGCCGTTTTAATTCATATTACTAAGGCTTTTAATGACCACATAACTTTTGGTTAAATTGTTTTGCTGGGCCTCAGTAGGATTTATGGTCTTTAACATTTGTCATTTTTTCATATCCTTAGAACCTTTGAAAGACAAACTTACTCCAGAGACCCTAAACGGTGCCTAAAAAATAAGGACAGAAGTTTTTTTAAAATGCCACTGAAACAAGATTATAGAGGGCGGTTGAAAACATTACTACTACATGACTAGCAAACATCACACCCTTAACACTAACTTTTTTTTTGCAGAATGATTCAAGAAGAGAAGGAGAGTGCAGCCATCCGCGCAGAGGAAATTGAATGTCGCGTTGGTAGTGGCGACAGTCTCGGAGGACGTTTCCGCTCAATGGGCTCCCTCCCTCCATCAATCTGTGCAGGTTCATCGTTGGGCGGTTCCCCTCCGGGCTCTGGTCAGTCAACCCCCAGACGCATTCCACGCAGCCCTAACAGAGAGATGGACCGCATGGGTGTCATGACACTGGTAACAATTCCTTTATTACCATTTTCTTATCTGACATCTTACATTCATAACCCCGAAGTACACCTTAGCTGTAGGTTTCATAACCCCGAAGTACACCTTAGCTGTCTTTCATTTGTGGTCCAGGAAACACTAATATCAGCTTCTGTAACATCTTGGTTCTAACAGGAAAAGTCAAGGATGTTTTGTTTATTTCTGTAAGATACTTTTACAGAGTACTCATTTACTCCTCATGCTGACAGTGGAACTTGGCTACGAACTCTGTAAACCTGGCTACAATTTATGAAAACTTATTGTAACGGCTGACCTAATCTTTAGTTAGGTTCCAGGGTGACACTGACGGCATTTAAACATTTCTTTTTCCGTGGTTGATGCAACATATTTTGTTTTTGTTATCCTATCAGGGCAGAATACTGCATTGCCCCACACAGGGACACATGGAGTAAAGGAGAACTTTTTATTGCTGTGCAGCTGTTACTTATGTTTAAATGACTAACAATTTTTTTTTGTATTTGTAACTGTAAATAACCATGCATGTGCTTCTGGAACCCCTCCCTCCCCAACACCTGTAGCATTACTGCTATGATCCTTACATCTTCAAGAGCTCAGTATCCCAGCAGACGTTAACTTACCTGCCCTATGGTGCAACTGGCTTCAGCCCCCTCCCTCAGGCTTTTAGCTATGCACCGTACCTACAGGTACCTGCATGTCACTGTCCATGTGACCTTCTTCTCCCCCCTGGTTGCCATCTATCTCTTCTTATTTGCTGTGTTTTAAGAAGAACAAATTTGAGACATTAATTTTCTATTCTCTTTCTGTGCTCCAGAGGTAAAAATGTATTCTGCATCAAAAAGAGTATATTAGTGTTGCTAATGTTTTAATTAGCACTTCTATATTTAAGTGTTACCTTAGAGGTGCCTTGGATGGCCATAATACATGTAGTTTTAGACAAAGGTAGAAAGAGAGAGAGAGAGAGGGAAAGCGACAGACAGGAGGAAAAATATAGCGTTCTAATACATGTACTGCAGAAGTCTCAGTTTGACAATCACATATCGGCTGGATAAAATAACTTGCATTACAATTACATTTTTGAAATCATCATTATTATAAATTTTGAAGGGAGACTTAAGGTGATCTTTGCATCCTGCTGATATTCTGGCTGAACTGTTATGTCAGAGAAAGCTCTGTTGTTCGCACCAATTTACCATACAAATTCTATGGAGGTTTTTGTAAAAGACTATGTTGCATAAAAAAAAACTATGCCTTTAAAAATAAAAAGATTAATCTAAAAAACGTTTACTTAAAGCTGCTCAGTACAGTAGCCTTTTGGTGCAGGCTGTTGTTTTTTTTTCAGTTGATTCTGTGGCTTCACTTATTAAGCAGATACGTGTACTTGTTTATTCAGAGGAAGGCTTCCGTCGTTGACAGTTAAATGCCTACACTGCAAATCAGCTGTGAGGGAAAGGGTCCTGAAGAAAGTCTTACAATAAAGTCAGCAAAATAAATGCCACTCTGGGTGGAGACTCTCAGGATGAAGAGGCTTCTCCACTTCATCTGCTCCATATTAAGTGGTCACGACAGAGGGGCCTCCATCGTCAAATGTTTTATTTAAAAGTGTAGAATTGGCTTCTGTTTAAGTCAGTCCTTTCAAGAAGTTTAGGTTTTAGAGTAGAAAATGTTATTCCTTCCACGCTGAACCTGTATTTTGTTTTAATTATTGCCAGACTTCTAAGAAACCCAGCTTTCAGTCACTGACACTCCTCAATTTCTGCGTTAAAATATTTGACGTTATGAATTAAAACAAAACAAGGTCATGCTGTGGCCTGTTTTCAAAATAGTCGTTGTCTTTAGCAGAGGGGGTTGGGTTGTGTAATGTATCTTCTTTTAGAGCACTAAAATTAGTAGAAACATTTTTAATAAAGGAGTGCTTTAGAGCACTTTAAGTGGTCAGTTTATGTTTTGCTCACATATCCCATATCCTTATCTAGTTTTGTTTTTACAGCTCACAAATGTTCTTCATTTTAAGGCTGTCTGTGCCAGTTGATAAAGGGAAATGAATGATTAATGACATTTTCTGCCTGGAGGCAGAAGAAACCTCCTCAGCAGTGTGTCACAGGCTGATGGTTTATTTACTCTGTTAATGCGAAGACTCTGAGGAATGTGTAGCAGAAATCAAAAAAAGAAAATCCTGCTTTCACACTGCAGTGGAAGTTATAACAGGACAACTAGGAAGGAATTTGATGTTGCTGCAATAAGAAAAGCCGGATCGCTGCATATTTAGTTAAAGCTCCAGTAAGAAAAGCCGGATCGCTGCATATTTACAAAATATATAAGCTATTTGAATTAGATGAACACATGCAGACAAACTAGAGTTAAACAAAAATGAACATGGCAGAAACCCTAAAGGAAAATCCTCAAGGCATACAGGGATTTGCCAAGCTATGATTATGTAACATTTCTTCCTTTTTCCTTTAATTTCCTCTAACAAGGCTGCAGCCGTTCTCACCTCATTCCCTGTCCTAAACTCCAGCTATTGTTTTGCAGTGATTCCTGAAGACTTCTATTTCACAGCTGATGGTCTTTACTTCCATAATGGTAGCTCTGGACCTTGACTGTTTGTGCTCAGTGTATGTGTGTGTGTGTCTCTGTGTTTTTTTGTGTGTATTCTTCAGGGTACTTTGGTAATTATACGTATACACAATTCCTATTTCCTGCTCTTGTAGATTTGTGCATGGCTTCGTTCCACTGCTGATCTGCTGTGCGTGTTACTAATGGCTTCTCTCCTCTCTCCTTTTTTTTGCCATGCTTCAGCCTAGTGACCTGCGCAAGCACCGCAGGAAGGTAATCTAGAGACGAGCTGTGCTTGGCATTCTCTAAAGCCTGTGTATAAATCTTATCTACATCTCTGTTGTCACCATAGAAACCACTCAACTGCAGTTTTTTTTTATTTCAAGTTTTTTTATTTATATTTATTTTGTGGTCTGTAAACTGTCTTTAATAGCTGGGCCATATACCAATACATTTCTGAAAACACGGCTACAATACAACTTATTAACAGTCTTTCCTTTGACTTTTGCTTTTACTTTTCCCATAAGAAATTACTGATGAGTTTTCATTCTTCCAGGAACAATTTTTAATCGAAACAGACACCTATTTCCAAATGTCAGAGAAATCACAAACTTTTACTTTGAAAACTGTGTAAACAAATTACCTACTTTCTTACTTTTTATTTGCCTTCATTTTTTAACAAATTACCTACTTTAAATTCTTACTTTTTATTTGCCTTCATTTTTTTTTACATCACAGCACTGCAGTTTGCAGTGACAAATAACTACAAACAAAATCTGAATATGAGTTCTTAGTATTTTCCACAATTTTTGTTAATCTCATCTTCCCCTCATTCACTTCGTCAGCCACAATGTTGTTCTTTGTGGTCCGTGTGGCGTTAATCAGTGATTCAGCTGACTTAAGATTTGTCTCCACCAGGCTGCTCAGGACGACAAGGCCACCATCCAGTGTGAGACGTCCCCACCCACCACTCCACGTTCCATGCGTCTGAACAGAGATGCTGGTCATGCTGCGAGCCATGAGGACATTAGAGATATACGAGGGTAAGAGTCTCCTCTGACTTCAGTCTTTTCCCCATGTCTCTGTCATACTTTTTGCTCAACCAGTGGCCCCACAGTCTCGCAGGTCTGCAGGACGGTCAGGGCAGCAATCCCAGCAGTAGCAACAGTAGCCAGGACTCTCTAAACAAAGCAGCTAAGAAGAAGAGCATCAAGTCTTCAATAGGACGTCTCTTTGGGAAGAAGGAGAAGGGACGACTAAGCATACCTGGCAAGGACTCTCCCAGCCAAGGTCAGGAAGACGTTTTTGATCTGCAGTTGGGGAATTAAGACTTTTGCAGAGCACTGTATACCCTTTCCATGCCACTTGTATTATTTTACCACAAGGTACTACTCAAAGTATCTTTTTATTTCATTTTACCAGCTGGAACCCCAGAGGCGGAGAACTCTCCTAAAGATGGTTTAGGAATGGCCACACTGGGAGGGCAAGCTGAGAAGAATCGGAAGTTGCAGAAAAAGTAGGTGCCTGAGTAAATGCAGAATGGAGAAAAAACTTCTCATACTGAGCAGAAAAGAAGGCATGGTTCAGAATGGAGAAAAAACTTCTGTCAGGAACCTTTTTATCTTCATACTGAGCAGAAAAGAAGGCATGGTTATTTGTAGAAATGCAATTTTAGTTTCGTTGCCAGAAGAAAATAAGACACCTGTAGGTTTATCAAGACAATACGATAGCACAATGAAATTAAACACAGTCTATTCAAAGTCAGTGTCAATGTGTGAAAAAACACTTGCAATAGGTGCAAATTAGTCTTAGTTAAGAGGTACATAATAATTTTAGCCCCATCCTGCTGCATGCAGAATTAATATACGATGATCTTAGAACCAGTCGCTTCCAAAATGTGTTGTTTTTATCTAATGTCAATTTCATAAATGTGTAATTGTTTTAATCCCCCGTAAATATTCCAAAAAGTTCCAAATGAAATGGATTTTGAGTAAAAAAATCCCTTGTTCGTTAAGGTTAAGGAAAAAAAACACAAACCATCAGTGATGAGTGACATGAGACATAAGCAAATCCACTTTGAAAATCAAGTCACATTCAACGCATCATAAACATATCTCCATAAAAAAAACTTGTTTACACAAATATTCCCTAAATGTATTATGTGTAAAATGTACCTCTGCCTGAATAATGTAAAACCAATGTAAAAACAAATGTAAAATATTGCTAGAGGTGTAACTGTTTGCTTGCTGCTCCTGTTGCAGTCCAGTGCTCAGTCTTACTCACTGCTGCCACCTGCCTCATGCTCACTCTCATCAGTCCACTGCACTTACACTGATTTTGAGTTATTTCCTCCTTATTTTTTTTATTTTCCTCAAAGCCACGGCAACACCATCAGTGTCGGTTTTTCTTCTTTTCAGCTTTTTTTTAAACTAGCATCAATTCATTTTGTTGTTATTTTTTTATCACCCTCCTCTCTCATTCCATGTGTAGTCCAAAGACAGGGTAAGTCAGTTCACGTCACCTTTGTTTTGACTTTTCCTCCTCTCACACTTGAGCCCAATCTTCTGTCCCTTTGAATGCTGACCTCCTGCTCTTCACTTGCTTTCCACACAGGAGCTTAACTAATTGGAATGTGTGTGTGCTGACCTTTAGTGAGTGACAAACTTTCCTAGAGCATGACGTTATGCACTGCATACCGTAGGAACGGTGATTCACAGCATATTTCGCCCGTACAAATGGCTTTGTGTGTCTGCTCATGGGTTTGAGAAGAAAATCGCACAACACACTGGAAACGAGTCTGCGTGTTGTCGATGCTGCTGCTGCTGCCTTCAGAATTTAAAAACAAGCAACTGCAAAACTATTTCCCCATGTACTCTGTGCCAAACAGCCCCATCTAGAGGCTAAGTTCAACAGGTACCACCAATGGACCTAAGATTGTGTAAAAGTTGCATCCATTTCAGAACCAAACCCTTTTAAATGTCCACCGTTGACAAGCTGCAAATGTGCATGAGGTGAATGTGAGATATTGAGGTGATATCTCTGCCTGCATGTTGGGAGGAATGCCCTTGAACAAAGAGGGAGTTGTTAGAGGATTCTCAAAGCTCTGGTGGATACTTTGATATAATGTCTGAGTAGAGTTTCTCATCCATATTAGTTGTTACTGTGTTTGTATTGTTCAACGGAGGTGACTACTCATAAGGGGTTGTTGAATAAGGTTTAATGTGTTACCCAGTGCAGACTTAAGATATTTATGACACTTATGTCACTTTAATCTATTTTTTTTGTATGCATTTTTTACATTTTTTCTTTTTAAGCTAAATCTAAGGTGTATGTGTATATATATATACATATGTATATATATTTACATTAAATAATTCAGAAGGGGAAATGTTTTATGACAACATTTGTTTGTTTTTTATTGTCTTAGGTTTAATGTTTCATTTCTTTATTTTTTTTTCTCATTTCCTCTCAAACCTCCTGCTCTCTGTTTTGAGCCTGCATGTCAACCAACGCCGTGGGGGTGGAGTTTTCTGATAGTATTTTATTCAAACTGTTTGCAGTGGAATTGTGTGCATTTTTTGAGCCTTTGATAAGATGCATTAGCATGTGCCATTTAAAGACTTGACAGATTTGACGTTTTGTTTGTTGAACAGACATGAATTACTGGAGGAGGCTCGCAGGCAGGGCCTGCCATTCGCCCAGTGGGACGGACCGACTGTCGTAGTTTGGCTGGAGGTAAAGATAAAAGGCAGTAGTTTCTGTCATTTTAAGTTAACCATTAATTAACAATTAACCCATGTTGTGTCATACATTTCTGGCTGTAGTTGTCAGAATTACATATTTGACGCAATAAGTCAAGTTAAACTAATTTCTGTTCTGGATAAAAATCATTTTTAGTTGGTTTCCTCTCTGTAATGACTAATAGTAATTAATTAATTATGATGATCACTTTTATTAATCACATGTCCTGTGTTTCAGTTGTGGGTCGGCATGCCAGCCTGGTATGTAGCGGCGTGTCGTGCCAATGTGAAGAGCGGCGCCATAATGTCGGCACTGTCTGACACCGAGATCCAAAGGGAGATTGGAATCAGCAACCCACTCCATCGTCTGAAACTTCGCTTGGCCATCCAAGAGATCATGTCTCTCACCAGCCCGTCTGCTCCACCCACCTCCAGAACGGTACTGATGTGGAGTAAACACTCAAACATACTGTAGATCTCACTTGAGCACACACAGTAACACTGGCCAGACTTCTGTTCACCTCATACTGCATGACACCTGACTTTATTTAACACATACTAATAATGACGTCCACTCCCTTCTTTATTCCACTAACTGCGGAACAATATCAATAAAATAGACACTTGTTTTTTTTTTGTTTACTCTGCTCTCCTCACATCCTCCCCTCACTCTTCTTCTTCTTCTTCACATCTTCTTTGCACACTTCTCTCACTTGTGATTGGGGCTTGTCACTTGGTCAGACCACGGGAAATGTTTGGGTCACTCATGAAGAAATGGAAAGTTTGGCAGCTACGCCTCTCACGGTTAGTGCATCCTGATTGGCCGGGGAACGGTGGCTTCGGCAGTCAGTAGTTGTGTGGTGTAGTTGTGAGCCTTTTTACGAGCTGATGGTTTGCGCTCCCAGTGTTGGTCTTAAACACTGAACTGCTGGGGTTTTCAAAGTTTTAACATTATGGGCATTTGTTTTATATGTAAATAATATGTGATGTCACTGAGCGTTAATCTGTCATTCTTGGTGACTCTTGCTTTTACTGTGTTATACCTTATCAGTATTTCTCAAACATATGGACAGAAGTACTTGGACTCCCGTCTTTCTTTTCCTACCCCCCCACCTCAAGAAGAACCTAATCAAACACTTTGAAAACCCCAGCGCTAAAACGTGTTTTTTTTTTATCTGGAGACTCAAAGAGCAGCTCGAAACAAGGCGTCACTCTTCCTGCTAGTTAGTCATGTGTCCCTGTGGTTGAGTAGAAGTAGTTTTCTCATTACTGTGTGGTTGTCTTTCTTTGTTTTGTCTGAATGTGTGTGTGTATTATGCACTAATCTGCTTTGTAGATGTGTGTATGCATTGTTTTATTAATGAAATTAAATCAGTCATTATTGACCAAGTAGACAAAGGACATTTCAGGTATTGTTGTTTGACATGTCAAAACAGCAGTAATTTAATATTTTTCCACATTTTTTGTTGTGCTTGTGTTTAAAGCAGCGTTCCTCTTTCATTTCTGATTGTTGTTTTTATACTTAATATTTCTGCAGAGCGTATCTGAGTACTTTACACTTAAACACATGTAGTCATTCCCATAGAGTAATCAGATTCACTTTATACTTCTGCATTGTACAATATTTTGGATCAGGAAAAAAAAAATTGAATATTGGGATGAATAAATCATCAGGACAAGTCAAACACCAGAAATAAAAGAGGATTTGCTTTTTCATTGATATGCATGGAATTCTTAAATATTTGTTAATTTGACCTTCAAATATTCTAAAAAATGCTGCTCTAACCCAGCACTGCTGCCTCACTAACCCCTCGCCTGTCTCTTCTTTTCACCGTGCTCGCTCTAACAACGTTAACACCAGGAGGATGACGAGGGCAGCTGGGCCCAGGTTTGCACATGTTTTAACGCACCTCTTTGACTAACTGATTAACACCTCATCTCGGTAACGATGTCACAATTTTTTACAGCCTGTTATTTTCTTTATGGCAGACTCGCCGTCAACACGGCACCAGATGTATTTCACCTTTTAGTCTGTGTCAGAAAATGCTGAGAGAAATAGCATTAAAGGAAAACATTTATGCAAACATATATAATGTTGTACGTCTTAACTCCACCAACCATAGAATAAAATGAATCATATCATCTTGGAGTAGAAGGACATGAACACTTGACTTTAGAAAATTTGCCACTTTTGTTTTAACATTTTCACCAAATGCTTTTCTGCCATTTTTTTAACATTTTCACCAAATGCTTTTCTAGATCTCTCTTTAAAAGAAGTGCATTAATAATTCCTGTTCTTGTCTAAAATGTAATAAATGAAGTTTTTTTTTTTTCTTTTCGTGTTTTCGTCACAAACACTGCTCAGTCCGTTTTTCTCTGTCCTCAGACGTTGGCGTACGGCGACATGAACCACGAGTGGATTGGTAACGAGTGGCTGCCCAGCCTGGGTTTGCCTCAGTACCGCTCCTACTTTATGGAGTCCCTGGTGGACGCCCGCATGCTCGATCACCTCACCAAGAAGGACCTCAGGGGACAGTTGAAGATGGTGGACAGCTTCCACAGGTACAACGTGACAGAGGTCACTGCCATTGTTATTGGCTGTGTTAACAATTATCATTAATAAATGTTATAATGAACATAAGAATTGAATGATAAAAAAAATCTCATGTCAAAGGTGATAAAAGCAGATGAAAAAGATACAGATTTGTTTTTGCTGAGCAGCTGTCTGTGTCCCTGCATCAGGAACAGTTTTCAGTGCGGAGTGATGTCTCTGAGGCGGCTCAACTACGACAGGAAGGAGCTGGAGAGGAGGCGAGACGATTCACAACTGGAGGTCAAAGGTGTGTGCTAATGTCTCATAATCTCGTAAGAGCCACCATGACTGGTGCCTGTAATGAGTTTGTTGAGATGGATGTTTGTCACTCTGCTGTTGCAGATGTTCTGGTGTGGAGTAACGAACGCTTGATCAGCTGGATTCAGGCCATTGGTCTCAAGGAGTACAGCAGCAACCTGTACGAGAGCGGAGTCCACGGAGCCCTGTTGGCCCTCGATGAAACCTTTGACTACAACACCCTGGCTCTGTTATTACAGATCCCAACACAGAACACACAGGTAATCACGCACTACCCTTAATAACAAGTGAGTGCAGTCTTCTGAGCGTCACAGTTCTGCCTCTTGCATTTGTGTTTTAAATATTTATGAGAAGGTAGAGAGTAAATGTGATGTTTTTAAGCACAGGACCAACCCACTATATATGAAATCCTCTCTTCTGTAGGCTAGAGCTACTCTGGAGCGCGAATTTAACAGTCTGATGGCCGTTGGAACTGAGAGGAGAGTTGAAGAGGTGAGGAGACAAGCACACGAGCAAAACTGAAGCGACACAGATGCAGTGTGTGGAAAAATTCACATCTTTCTTCCTTCCTCTTTCTTTGCCTTCTGTCAAGGATGATGATAAGAACTTTCGTAGAGCTCCATCGTGGAGGAAGAAGTTCAGGCCCAAAGACATGAGGGGTGCGTCCCTGGGTGTGTCTGACACACTCCCCGCCAACTTCCGTGTGACCAGCAGCAGCGCCACATCTCCCTCCACACAGCCAAAGAGGAGCCCGATGGACGGTAAGTGAAATGCGCGGGTTGATGCATGTGCATGTGTGTGCGTGTGTGTTGCTACTCATGCAGATCTTTGAAGTTTAGCTCTCCTCTCAGGTTTCTCGTGTGTTTATTGAATGGCACAGCTGCTCTTCTGTTTGTTGTTGATGCACAGACTAACGGCATGTCTTTGCATGTGATTCTTGCCAACATGTAAAACACAGGAAGTCAATCTATACAGCGCCTGGACACTGCCACAGTCAGGACCTACTCTTGTTAACACAACGGTAAGATTTTTCCTACCATTATTGTGTGCCATTAGAATAACACAAGCTGCTCTGATCTGCTTTAAGCACCTGTGCAGAGTGGTCCTAACATGAGTGTTCAACTCTTAACCTCAGACAGTTGAACCATGTTTTATTAATCTAGACTCCTCATTGCAAAACCTGTTCTTTATTTCAATGCCCTAATACTGGAAGTCAATCATCAGGTTCTGCAACAAGATGTTTTCATGCATCCATAATCAGGCTCCCATTATAAAGTGCAGTTGATTTGCAGGTTCTTTTGTTCGGCATGCTTTTAAACAACCTGACAACAGGTTATGAGAAAGGACATAATTGTTTCAGGCAATGTCGATTCCATCAAAGACTTTGTCGGAGGTCAGGATTAATACAACCAACGCACACATTTAATAAAAAATGTTTTATTACACTACGAGTGTTTTACAAAAGACTTTGTCGGAGGTCAGGATTAATACAACCAACGCACACATTTAATAAAAAATGTTTTATTACACTACGAGTGTTTTACAAAGTGAGTTAAAGTAGAATAATCCAATGAGTTTGAGTGATTTTTCTGTTTACTCGTTTGTTTGCTACCCTCTGTTACTGAGCATCTGTGACTCTCAGTGGGCCAGTTCTACAAAACCTATAAAGAACAAAAATCTTTACGATCCTTGAACATCTGTAACTACAGACATGTTTTATTGCTCTGAAGTAAAGATGATTTCTCACTGCACAACTGCTTCTTTTTTCTTTTCAAGCAGAATGAAGCTTTCATGTATCTTACTTTTCTGCTCTAATAACGCACGTTTTTACGCCTCTCCTCTCTTTCCTCTTTGTTCTCCCCTCCTTCCCTCCTTCCATCCTTCCTTCCTTCCTTCCTTCCTCCCATCCTTTTTCACTTGTTCCTTGGCTTCTGTCCTGCTTCTCCTTCTGTGTCCATTTGTCTCTCTTCTCCCCTTCTCAGTTTATCCTCATTATTTCTATAGGTAGCCGCTGGTCGGAGGATGAAGGGGAATTCCCTGCCTTCAAGACCAGGATGATGAACTGAACTCACTAAAGGAAAAGACCCTTCTGTTCTCACAGAGAAAGACCTAACTCAGCAGTCTTAGAGAAAAGGGTCTAGATTTATTTACACTTGTTATATTTATGTAAACTGATGGGACGTTTAATTGATTTTTAGAATTTTATTGTGTAATCGTTTTTTTTTTTTTGTTTTTCCTCCTATTCCCATGATACAATCCTCTTTTCAGACATTTGAGAATTTCTCCTTTGTGCCCTTAATGAGCTCTCAGAGCTCAGTTGCAACCGTCTGGAGTTTGTATATTTCTATCGACAGACATTTTATCTAATCTTTTTTATAATCCTGATTCTATTGACCAGGTGTATGTTTTTTTTTTCCTCTTTGATTTGAATTCTGATAATTGAAAGTATGCTAAGAAACTTTGATATATGATATAACTTAATGCATATCCTCTGCCTTTTTAATGGTTGTAATTTTTATAGCCTATTTCTTGTGATCCTTGTGTAAATGCAGCTCTTAGGTCACATTGATGTGTGAATTTCGGACAAATTGCTGGACTTTTCTGACTGTTGGACAAACGTGTCAACACTGTGAGTCGTCCACATCGCCTGTAAAAACACAACTGCTGGTGAGCCAGGGGATGGAGGCAGCAGATATCACAGGAGAAAAACACAGTATATATTTTATCTTTTTCCTCTATTTTTCCATAACTGTGATACCAAAATAGAACTCTTCAAATTGAAAGAATAAAGCCATATACAACTCTAACAGGATTGGTGGGGAAGTGGGGCACAAAACGGTTTCATGCGCAGGTGAGATCAGAATTCCAGGATCACTCTTTCTTGCTGTCTCTCTCTCTCTTTCGCTCTATCTCTCTATCAACCTCACCTGCGGAAACTCCTACACTAATCCTCACACACACTACTCCTCACCCAGTGCCCCTTAAACCTTCCGGACTTGTGGAGAAATACACTCTGGTTCACTCACGTTCACAAGTCCGAAGTGTAAAAACTCTAACATTGGACCAACTTTTCCAGGGCCCCAGTCAATGCTCATGTAAAAAAAAAAAAAACCTCAAGGCATTTTAATCCACTCTTTACAGTTTTCATATAGAGCCTTATTGTTTTCACTGCGCTGTCCTCTGCTCTTATTTATTATTTGTGCACACTGCTTTTCGTCCGTTTTCTGTTCAAAAATAATGCGCTGGGTTGTTCCTTTTTTCCTCCTTCTAATATCTGTGTTTGTTCTGTTTGCTTTTACAACACTGGTTCCACTGAGTGCGAAGGAACCGAAGAGTTTTCTGCCTTTTCTCTTTCCTATGTCATTTAGTCCAAGCTCAAGTCAAGTTTCTTCTTCTTTTGTTTGTGATGTACTCATGTAGGCACGGTGCAAATCACGTTGCTGTTTTTATTCCCCGCTCCTCCTGTTGAAATTTTCTGATCTTGTAACAATGATGTACAGTCCGAGTACTTATAAACTATTTTTATCACAGTATTATTTATTGCTTACTTTCAATAAAACCTTGAAACCTATTTTACACTGCAGGAAATATTCATACTCAAGTGTCTGAATTTACTTGACCACTGTTACTACATCTTTTCCTTGTCGAGAGGATCCTCAAAATGTTTGCTGCTTATGTCTTGCAGGAAAACAGATAGATAGATAGAACAACAGTAAGTAGGTAAAATACAATAAAATACAAACATGTGTAGGTTAGTAGAAGTAGATAGATAATGTTAGTAGATTAGTAGGTAATTATTGTTACTGTGTATGGTGTTGTTGATTGCAATCTCAATTATTATTTACTATTATATTTCTATACCATTGTTAACAATTACTGCACTAATACTACACAATACTAATATAAGCATGGATGAAATACAAAAGTCGTTAAATTTAGACAACAAAAGCTTAAATTTAATTAAAAGAACTGTTACGCCCCCTACTGGTAAACAGTGCGAATGATTATATTTTAAATAAAATGTATCTTTATTCTGATTGGCTGTTGGGCGTTCCCTGTCCCATGAGGTAGCCAATCATGTTGCAGCAGCGGCTGTTTTGAACTTGTGTTTTTCTTTAACCGTCAGTGAAGCGCCATTGCTGGTGTACTTACCGTGGTCCTCTTAAAGTAGTGTTTAAAAAAAGAAGAAGAAAAGGGATAAACAATATGGACATAGACGTGGACTCACTAAAATATGCGGAGCTGCAAAAACACGCAAAGAAACTCGGACTTAAAGCGAACCTCAAGGTAAGCGGGAAGAAAACACTTAGCCCGGGACGACTAGCAGTAAGCTAACGTGTGCGTAAACAAACGGGAGCGAGATGCTAAACTTTTAACTTCTGTTTTAAACAGGCGGACAAACTCCTGACGTTGGTTAAAGAACATTACCAACAAAAGGGAATCAAAAACGTGGAGGATGAAAAGGTAAATCACTCACTTAGTTATTATTTGTTTAGGTCGTCCCTTTGCAGGGGTCGATACAGCAGACCACCACCACCACCACCTCCTGTTGTTGTCCTCAGTACACCCACAAATCTGGGTCTTAATCTTTTGCAAACAACCATGGCCTGGCCGTTTATACAGATTTTCATTTTCTATTATTTTTTTATTTTTTTTTTTTACATCTTGGCCACTTGATCACGGTTTGTCTACAGCTGTACTGTATTGTCCTACACTGTGGCTCGTCTGCTTTTAATAAATGATCGTTGGTGCTAGGGCTAAATAAGAAAAGTGAATTTATTGTAAGAAATTCTGAATTATTTTCTTTCTTTTGACATAATTTATTTTTCAGAGACACGTTGAGAATGCAGCTGTTGTCCAGAAAAAGGTGGAGCCTGAAGAAGATCCCAGTACTGAGAAAAACACAGAGGGACTTCCTTGCACTGCTGTGTTTGTAAACACACGCAGAGGAAAAGGAAGAAATGCCAAACGAAAGATCTCTAATGATAAGTGTGATGCCAAGTCGACAACAAATGCTGTAGAGGTGTGTAATTACTCACAGACGGTTTGGGTTGAAGTTGGACTTCAACGAACCCTTAAGTTTATTTAATATAAAATCAATATTATTTCATAAGTACGTCTTAAATGAAAAAACAAACAAAACAATTGTCATTCCATTTGTTTATCTGTTGAAATCTGAAGGTTGACCATGAAGTGGCAGTATCTGTGGCATCCAAAGGTGGGGATCATCGTGCCAAAAAGAGGAGATTATCTTCTATCAACAATTCTCCTGAAAATAAACTGGAGCTTCCCAAAGACTTGCAAGTCACTCAGGATAAGGAGCAGCAACAGCAGCATGAGGAAGCTGATGTAAATGATGATGCACCAAGTGAGGACACAGGTCTGTAGCATTTATTATGAGAGGATATTTTGTTACTGTCCTTGGTCAAGTGGATCTTTGGTAGAATCACTGGCCAGTAATTTGAATTTTACAGTCTGCAGTCTAGTATGTCTGCCAGAATTAATTCTCTTACTTGCATATGTATTTACATATATATAATATATATATATATGTTTAATGTTGTTTTGTTTCGACAACAAAGGATGTCAGAAAATATAGCTTTATGTTTTGAATTTAAATATTATGCGTTGTTTATTGGTTTTGGTTTTATTTTTGTGTGTTTGATAGATAAGAAGACTAGACTTTACATTCCTTTCAAAGAGAGAAATATTGACATTTCATTTTCTCCAGGAACTTCAACAAATGGCTCCAAAGCAAGTAAAATCCCTCTACAAAAGAGGAAAAAGTTAAAGCCCCAGACTCCCAGTAAGTAATGTTATTTCCCCAACTTTTGTTTTGACCACATTGCTGAGTTTTCTGAGCAGGTAGCCACATAAATAATTGGAGTTCTTTTGTAGACTTCAAGAAACTTCACGAGGCACACTTTAAAAAGATGGAGTCCATTGATTCTTATGTTCAGAGGAAAAACAAGCAAATGGAGACGTACAAAGCTGGAGCTAAAGAACTCAAGGTACTATGAATGTTCTGGGGAGAGGGAGGGTTCTGTGGTCGCTAAACAGGGAAAAAAGTCTGATGACAAAGGTGCTCGGAGAGAAGATAGTTGAACCGAACAGTTCAAGGCATTTTCCTTAACTGTTTTAATCAAGTGTAATCTATTATTTTAGTAACTGTCAGTTTTACAGACTCATTTGTTGCCTGTGTTTTCTTTTTCAGTCGCTTTCAGAACAGCAGCAACTCAATGGCAAAACCCAAACAGTTGAGTGATGTTTGTGATTACCTTTCTGTATGTTCCACTGTGTGCTGCGATTCACCTAAAATTGAACTAAAATTCTATTCTGCAGAAGGCCAACCAGAGTCGTACATCACTGTTCAGTCCCGCCCCAGTCAGCAAGATAGTGTCTGAAGACAAATGTAGAAAATCAATGATGTTGTCTGGTAAAACTCTGGCACTGAAGGCTGCGAATAAGGCAGAGGTTCCATTCAGACCATCTGTCCTTTCCACGCGCAAGATCAATGTCCGGTAAGAAGACATTATTTCTGCAGGGTTTTGTTATAAGAAAACGTCTTTGTTGTTGTATAAAGCTATGGTGGGAAAAGTGATGTCAGCAAGAACACTGCCCTCTGTATGTTCTTATTCACTAAGAGTAATTTATTTTTTTTGTCTTGAAAATAATGTCTTTTCCATAATACTTGTGTGCAGGTTCTCAAAAGGCACACGTGAAAATGACCACAAGACTTCCTTTGTAAAGACGCCTGCACGTTTCTCACCCTGCGTTGCCTCAAGCACCCCTCAACAGCCCACTGCCGTGGTAAAGTCCACCAGTGTCAGAACATCTGTCACAAAAACTCCAGGTACTAAGAATTTAGAACAACGTGTGGAGTTTATAGAAAGAAACATTTTGAAATAAATATTCATGAAATTTTCTTTTCAATTCCAAAAGGTGTGTTCGTTTTCACTGGCAACAACAGCACATTGGCAACACCTGGAACCCAGAAAAAGGCAGCGTTTGACCTGAAGGCCAGTCTGTCTCGTCCACTCGGCTATAAACCTCATAAAGGTAAAAAGAAAAAAAGAAGTCCAGTTCATTTGTATTTCAGACTAGGACAATGACATTAACACAATGTTTAACAACTCTCCTCGCTGTGACTTTCACATTCTTCTTTTTTACATTCTGCATCAAACTAATGTGGGAAGAGTTTTGTTATTAACTGTTTCCTTGTTTACCACGTCTGTCTCTTGTTCTCGGGGAACATGTTGTCCCAAAGTGGCACCCTCTGCACAGCAAGCACCTTGTCTTGCATTTTAATTAAAAAGTTCATCTAAAGGATAAACTGTTTATTGTAAAGAAGGAAAAACAACAGCAAAATAATACACACAAGACTATTTCATGTCGTCATCCTGCAGAGCTATACTGACCAAAATCAAATGTTTTTTTTAATTCCTTAACCATCAGGAAAACTAAAGCCTTTTGGAGAAGTGAATGAAAATGCATCAGTTGCAGCAAACGAATCTCAAAATGCAAACCCACATCAGAAAAATTACAAACAGCACCAGGTCAAAACCAGGTACGTTTTAATTTTTATTAACCACCAGATAAGTCTTTGTCTATTTTAACTCTTGTCTGATGCACATTTGTTTCTTATTCTAGGGAGGACAGGAGGGAAAAACAAGTAAAAGAAAGAAAGGAGAAAAAAACAAACATGCTGGGGGCAAGAAGAGGCCTTGTCATGATGTAAAAAAAAAAAAGAAACAATTCTGCTTCTTAGTAGATGCTTGCATATTTGTAGACATTGTTTTTTTTTCCTTGTAAATATTTTCTGTTGCTAAAAAAAAGTCTCTCTTTTTTTTTAAAAGTAGACAAGCTTCTTTTTTCATTCTCTCCAGTTGCTGTGCAGTATGTTTTTTATTGACTAATGGATTTGTTATCAACCTTCACATTCGGACTAACTTGTTTTTATTACACCAGTAATGTCATGTCATTTTTGCAATGTATCCTTGTTCATAATTTTCAGGAAGATGGTTGGTACTCAGATGAAAGATTAATTTCTTCATTGAATAAATACATTTAGATTTTAAGAAGTTTTTGAAATGTATTTTTACTTTATTTGATATGTCTTTTTTCAGGGGTTGCCACAGCGAATCATTGATTTCCATCTCTCCCTGTTCTCTGCATCTTATCCTCTGACTCCAACTATCTGCATGTCCTCCCTCACTGCATCCATATATCTCCTCTTTGGCCTTCCTCTTTGTCTCCTACATGGTAGCTCCATCTCTAACATTCTTTTACCAATGTATCCACTGTCCCTCTTCTGCAAAAAGAAAAGTGTTTTTATTACGTGGATAAAATTGCTACCACCTAGATTCTATCAGTGTGACACTTCAAACTGAAACAATTTGGTTCTTTTTGTATGATCAAGTTGCTGTGGTAAAATTTGTGTACAAAAGAAGCTGACAATTAGCAAAAATAAAAAAAAAACAGTTATGTGTTGATACTGAATGTTTGCGATTGTAATTAAGAAAATGTTTTATTTTAGGTACTGGAATCAGAGGTTTAGAGTAGTGAATTATTTGAATATTTTTAACTAAAATTATGAATGGAAGACATTAGGTCTATTTTTGTGTATAAGTTATTAAAGTAATAATTTCTCAGAGAGAAAAAAAGTTTACTGACAGAAAAAAATGGCCTAACTTTACAATTATGTCAACATTTCTTTTTCCCAAACAAGTGATTTTTTTATTTTTTTTATTTTTTTTTTTGCTGTGCTCACGGCACAACAGTATTTTGCAATAAATGATAAATATTACTACTGGACACATTAAATGCAGGAAACGTGAGCTTTCTCTCTCTCAGTAGGTGCTCAGGCCTATTCCTTCACTTTGCCCGCCCATGTGTGACGTCAGTCCTGGCGTAGAACGGGACATTGGGAGAGCCGGAAGTACCGCAGACGTTCCAGGTTCTTCTCAAACATCAACCAAACCGGGGACGGAGTTCGTCAACCGGAGCGAGTTTTAAAAATCACCTCAGAGTGTCGTCGGAGCTTCGTTAGTCTTGCACGGTGAGTAAGTGTCACCTGTATGGGGGAGTAAAAGGGGATTTTTTTGGCGCTCCTGGCTCTCACTCACTCAGTCATTCCACAGGGAGAGACGGTAGCTTTTAGCTAGTTAGCTGAGTGGAAACTGGGGCAGGAAATTAGTGGAGCAGCCCGTTTTTCCCCGAGTGTTTATGGTGTTAAATAAGTGTTGTACAACATTTGCATGTATGAATGACCGCGTTTACTCAAAATGTTAATTTTAAGGCGATTTTCACAAGGGGTCAGACCCGATATCTCGAAATGAGGTCCGCATACAGATACAGTATATGTGATGATGCGTTTACTTGCCACTTTTCAGATGTAAATGTAATCATATTTAGGTTTAACGCGATAGTTCCATTGGCACTCGAAGTTTTATGGATAAAACGAATATACGCTACAACGTCGTTCTGCCAGGACGTCATTTCTTCTTTCCCACTCGGAAATAACGTAAATTATTTGAGATGTGGGAGCGTTGTGCCAGGCGGCTGCTGCTCATTCAGCCTATTATCAGGCTTTAAACCCCCCACAGTCACAGGTGGTAGGTATAGCCCGTCTCTCTGCTGGGCCTGCTGACATAATGTGGTAGAAATGGGTGTGGTTGTGTTGTCCTGTCATGCTTAAAGTTCGAAAACACTACTGCTGCTGCTTATGCTCCTGCTCCTTTCCTTCTCTTGCTCCTGCTGCTCCCGGTGTTTCCTGTTAGGGCTGAATGAAGCCACGTCTCCTGCAGACGCTGACTGCACACAATGTGCTGAGTCAGGAGTTGGAATTCCTACAAACAGCTTTTTGTTTGGCACGGTTAGAAGTCAGGTTACTGTAACTGAGTTTTGTTTTTTGTTTTTTCTTCGTTGTATTTGTAGTTTTCGTTGTATTTTTTTCGTTGTATTTGTAGTTTTCGTTGTATGTTTTATCTCTGGACTCCCAGTCCTACAGCTGCCTTCACATCCTGTTTTTTCACTGACAATATTAATATATTAATATTAATATGCATGCTGAAATTTGAGTGATTTTGGTCAGGTCATCCATAACTATTTAAGTATTCAGTTTAGGAGAAATCACTGCGGTGGCCGTAGGAAGAACCAACTGCTGAATGTGCATGCAGTACTACAAATGGTTCAAGGGTTTTTCTTTCTTTTGCACTGTCTATTGTCTATCACTGCACCAAAACAATGATATGGTGATGATCGTTTTTTTTTATATATATAAATATATTTTATTTCAACATTTATCATTATAAGTGCTTAACTGATTCAAGTTTGGAAAGACACAAACCTGACTACTACCTTACAACAAAATAACAAAAATGTACGTGTTATTTTTCAATCACATATTTAAGCACTAAACAAAAGCAATTCAGTTTTTACGTCTGGCCTCTTTCATAGGAAACACTGACTCACCTGTTTACAGAGCATTCAACACTGATTCTTCAACACAAATGTTTAGTTAAGAATTTAGTGTGGTTGTTTATGTGTACTTGGGTTGAAAAACATTTATTTCAGGATATTTTGTCATAATAAATAATATAATAAATACATTTACACAATATAAATGTATATTTTCTATATATTATTATTATATAATATGCCTTTATGTCAGCAGTAATTCATCTTTTATTACTTGTGTCAGGTAGTGTGGCACAGGCTCAAGCAAGATGTGGAAAGCAGCAGCAGGACAGTCATTTAAGGTGGATGCTGACGAAGGAGGGGACGACTGGGAGACTGATCCTGACTTTGAGGTACTTCCTCCCCTTCTTCTTTTTCCTGCTCCATCCACTCTTGTAGTTCTCGTGATCATTGCTTTTCCTGGATTTCTAGAATGACGTGTCAGAGAAGGAGCAGCGCTGGGGGGCCAAGACAGTGTCTGGCTCAGGACACCAGGGTCACATTAAGTAAGAAGGCCCAATCCTTTTAATCTCCGTGTTTTACTGATACATTTTATTTATCTAACTAATTTCTCATGTATGTATCGTCATTGTTTTAAGCATCAAGCAGCTACGAGAGACCGTGTCAACAGAACACACAAGCCTGAAGCAGAAGGAGCTGGACGATATGCCCAAGGCTTCACATGGTTACGGAGGAAAGTTTGGAGTGCAGCAGGACCGTATGGACAAGGTGAGAAGAAAAAAAGGGCTTTGTGAAAGGATTGTGAATTTGAATTGAATATCAAGAAGGCAGTTAGTATAATTGGAAGAACTCTAAAGATTAATTTTAATCAGAAACATGCATTTTTTTAAAAACCAACTCCTTACCTTCTCAGTCTGCTGTGGGTCACGACTACCAGAGTAAGTTGTCAGCTCACTGCTCCCAAACTGACACATCCAAGGGCTTTGGAGGAAAATTTGGTGTCCAGGCTGACCGTATTGACCAGGTATTTCCAGTTGGTGATTTATTTCTTTTTCATTTGTGTCATGTAGGAGATCAAGTTAAAACACCGGTGATTAATTTATTTTTTTCATTTATGTCATGTAGGAGATCAAGTTAAAACACTTTGTTGGAATTGACTACTTATCCTCTTGAAATATCCCTTCATTTAATTTTTTTTATGTGACTCAAAATTATTATTATTCAGTTTGTTCATTATACAGAATCATCAGTGTCGGAGTTGAGATACATATCAGATTTTTTTGAATGCTGTTGTCATGCACGTATTCTGTTTGACATTTGTAGAATACTGATTTTTGCTTTTTGTCTTTTTCCAGTCTGCTGTTGGGTTTGAGTACACTGGGAAAACGGAAAAACATGCTTCACAGAAAGGTGATGTCCAAACCCGCTGATACGTCTGTATATCTCGGTCTCAGCTGCAACAGCTTCACTTTAATAGATTTTAATAGAGTTTTAAATGTTAGAATTTACCAACTAGCTTTTAGTTTTAAATGTTAGAATTTACCAACTATATCCAGACTGGTTAGATTAACAATGAAGGAGCAGTAAAGTTACCTCAATCAGCATCGCTGTGCACACACACACAAATGCTAAGTTTTGTGTTTGCTTCACTGCTGCTGGAAAAATCAACAGCGCTGATGTGGGTGTGTTGATGATGTCTGTTGATGTCTGTTGAATGCAACATGCCAATCCTCAGAGTAGTGATGTCCACCTGCTCACACTTCACTGTGATCCTGGTGCTGCAGCTTCTTCAGAACCCAGTCTTGTGTTGCACATGTCCCTCATAGAGAACCCTGCTTATACATAGCTGAATGTTAAACCCATTTCCAAATGGTCCTCACTGTAAACCCAGTCCCGTTCAGACCTGTTGCTCCATCGCTTCCTCAACACGCAGTCAAAAGTGTAATGTTGTCTGTTAGGTAAAATTAGCAGCCATTTTTGTTTCAAATTCCAACTTATAAAACAGCTCACCTGGTCTCTGACTTGAGCATACCTGTTCTTCTTTCTTGTGGGACAGGTACATACAGCACAGTAGACCACATACCATTCATTTTACTGCACAGCAGTTCAAAGAGAAATATAGTCGATGCAAAGTATTACCTTTGATTTTGATTTAATCTGCAGTGGAACGTCATGTGCTGTGATACTGTATCTATTACTGACGTAGACTTATATGAGGACTTTGGAATGGGTTACGCCCATGCTGCTTCACCCTGACCTTTCACCCTCACCCCCTCCCTGCTTTGCCATGTAGACTACTCCACTGGGTTTGGGGGACGATATGGTGTGCAGGCAGATCGTGTCGACCAGAGTGCAGTGGGCTTCGATTACCAGGGCAAAACTGAGAAACATGAGTCTCAGAAAGGTTTGTCTAGACTTCCTGACAATCAGCATTCCTAATAAAAAAAAAAGCAGAAATATACACACAAACACACACACACCCACTCACCCTTACAGGAACCTGGCACATTGAACATTACCTCACACAGGTCCTGACACATAAAGTTATGTTGCATTTCTTCCTCTTTTCCAGCTTTTGTTTTCAGCTCTTACAGCATCTGAAATTACAGTGTAATTACTTTATTGTTAAAGTCCCTAAAAGATTTTCCAGTTCTTTCATTAT